CATAATATACTGTTTGTAAAGTTAGCTGACTAATTTAATTGTTTTATAAATTCACAAAGGAAAGATAAAGAATGGCGTAATGTCGATTGCGACTTGCTGGATAAGGAATGATGGAATGCTATTGGTCGAATGCGCGTAGGAATATTGGCACAGAGTCAATTTTTGTTGTGCGGTGTTGGGTGCGCAGGCCTTCTTCATTTAGAGAGGCGTCGCTGTTGCCACCTGACAAACCCAATAATTACCAAATTAATATAAAGTTACTCGTGCATTAACCAAAAAAGAGTTTGGAGTCGTTTCTATCTAAATTAAAGCACATATTTCAATTTTTGTACAATTCACGTGATTGCCCAACCAAAATTAATGTACTAAAACGAACCTTATTTATTTGACAACACCGCCGTCCACTATGTAATAATGGCGTCTCAACGAAGCCGTTTTCCCGCGCATTTCAATTTTTAGTATCTAATTTGCAAATATATCAAAAACTATATACTTTTGGAGAAAAAATTAGAAAAAACTATGATTTTTTTGCCCACAGAATTCGAAAAAAATATAATCTAAAAAGGTGCAAGTACCCTATCAAAAAATACTTACCTACTAGATACAAAAAGGAATAATAAACAAAAGTATGTGGTGAGAATTACGCTAATCAAGACCTAATATTATTTACCTGAATGGATAAAATAATGTAATAATAATTATTATTACCAGTAAAGTACCACTACCACTACCACATCAAACAGTTTTTACCAAGAAATCGTTCAAATATTATAATAATTTATATTCAATTCAATGAAAATGAGATTAAAACCAAAGCCCGACACTGTAGCAAAGAATCAGCGTTGCCACCTCACGAAAATTAAATGTAATAGATTGAAGCCAAAATTGTAATAGATTTGACTTTTTGGTAATAGATTCTTTCATCTGTCACTTCTGTCAGTTATGCATGAGAGATAACAAAAATATTGAATAGGCGCTCCACCATAATAGTTGTATTCCTTTCACACCTAGGAGGAGCTCCGGAACAGCTCCGGGGCTTCACGCGCTTATTCTTTTCGAAAAGTGTTTGTTGCACCACGCATCTGTTCCCTGCAAATCGGGGGCTTCTAAACACCGGAACGAGTAGCTCGAGTGTTTCAAACTCTTGAAAGGAATACAACTTATGCGCCGTATTTACTTTTATGCTGTGTTTTTATGCTCAATTCACTCATTTACGTTGGTTTTTGTTGCCATAACTTAGATATAAGTATAGGATTATTTATTCTTTAGTCATAGAATCACTTAGTTCAGAATCAGTTCTAAATTGAAGTTAATTCCCGAAAATAAATAAACAAATGCGCATGCGCAGCTCAATTCAGAGCTGATTCTGAACTAAGTCCGAGCAAACCTATTATGAAACTGAAAGTGAAGCAGTGTTGCCAATGTGGTAAAGTCAGATTACCCGAGTTTCTAGTTGAAATTACCCGATCTTTACCCGCGTTTGCAGTGGTTTTGCCAAGTTTTCGTGGCGGGGAACATATTCGAAAACAGCGCTAAGCAAAAAAAAAAGTTGTTAAGGGGATGTATCTTAATTTTTTTTTAAGGGTGTAGGAGAGAAAAGGATAAAGAGCTCGTGCTTATCGTGCCATGCCAATCGATGATGCTAATAGGATGCTCATTTGTACTTGCTCTACCTGCTCGAAAAATCAGGAAGATCTGCTAGGAGCAACTATTCATGAGCTTATATATGGAACAAGTGAAAGCTGATCTGCTGCTGAGATCTGCTTGAAACAAGAAAAGCAGTACAAATGAACTCCCTATACCTATAAAGTTGCAAGGCAAAGGAAATTTTTTTCAGTATACGGAGCAGGTGGCAGAAAACTAGGAGACAACGTATATTTTAATTATTATTTTAACGACTTTTTTTTAGCTTTTTCAACCATTTTGTACCATACTGGGGACCAGAAGTCTCGATTACCCGAAATTATCCGATTTATAAAATGTTAGAAAATTACCCTGCTTTCAGTCAAATTACCCGCAAATCGGGTAATTACCCGCAAGTTGGCAACACTGAAGTGAATCATTTTCATTCGGCTGTTTCCAGGTTTCACGCACAAAGGACACAACATTGACAAAAGATGTTTTTTTAAAGTGTTCTGCGTGGTTTGTTGTGATAAATTATAATGCCTGTAAAATTTTTCAATTGCTCATTCACCAAAACATAATTTTCCCGAAAAAGTAATAGATTTTTTCCTTTGGTAATAGCGTAATAGAAATTACTTGATTGTAATAGATCTATTACGAATGTAATAGGGGTGGCAACACTGCAAAGAATATTATAGCAAAGAATGTTACGCTCATGTTACGCTTACGTCAATTACGCCCGTGGGTTCTCGCCCTAAGGGCGAATCCTCACGAGCGTAATTGACGTAAGCGTAACTAATCACATGATTTAATTTGTGCGCTTTCATTGGCGGCAGTGCAGCCATCTTGAATTGTTGAAATTACGCTGTCGCTACGACAAAAAGTTAGATTTTGTTGAACTTTTCGGCGTAATAGTGGCGGAGTTGTGACGTTTGTTTGTTTCTGTAACCAAAGCTGCTTTCGGGTGCCTCCCTTTGTGCGCTCCCGAGTTAGTCTGAAGTACTCTGTTGACCTCTCCAGTTTCAAGCGTTCGATTGCAAAACGCATGGAGTATGACAGGTGTGAAGTGTTCTAGGAGCTTCGCACTCTGCACCCGAAAGCGGCTCAAGTTATCACTAGCACCCTGCAGGAATCTCTGATTTTCTAAAATATAGGTCGTACCCAAAATCCTCGTTGCATTAGCTGCATTTTTTTTCTGAGGCGCCTTAGCGCCTTGTGAGACCCCTATCTCAGAAACTTAGATTGATGTTGAAATTGGCGAGCGGTAGCTTTGTTTCTGAGTGGGGACACAGATTGATATGGGTCCTATTTGCGGGGGGTGAGAGTAAAACACAACTGTGGATAATTATTTTAATATGGTTTTATTAATTCTTTGTTACAGGCATCGGTCTAGAAATGGACTCTAAATTTATACTCAAACCCTAACTTTAATTACGCTAGATATTCCTCAAGTGCAAAATTCTTTTAGAGCTAATTGGCTGATGAAAATCTTCAATATTGGATAAAAGAATGTCTCACTTAACTTGTCTAATTTTTATCAGTCAATATAATAAAACTTTCATTTATTGTTTTCCCAAAACTTTTACGTTCATGTACCAAACTTATTGAATACGCTCTAAATCTCCTTAGTTAGATCAAACGAAGTATGCCTTTAGTTACAACAATTTTCAGTGACTAGATTATTCACTCTGAACAACATTTACAAATATTTACTTACTTAAATCAATTCTAATTTCCTAACTACTGCCAGCACACACCTAATTACTTTTTACTTTCGCAAATTAAACCCGTTGTTCCGCGCTGTCTCGATTTTGTCATTGAATTCTGACTATTTAACTGGACTCGACCGGATTCTGACGTTTTCACTGTACTAACTCTTGATCGCTTAATTGACAGGACTGTTCGGGAAGCTTTCTGACTCTAACTGACCGACTGGACCGCTGATCAACTTTCGACACTGGTCTCTGCTTGCAGAACCGACACTGGTCATTCCATTTTGATACTGGCTTTTTATATCCAAATTCCCCCCTGCTGTTTCCTTTATTCCGGACCGCTTTTGACACTCCCTAATTTATGAGCATCTGTGATTTTTGGGCCGCGTTTTCTTTGATCTTTGTGCCGCTTCTTTGTGTACTTGCCGACGGCCTTGATCTTCTTAATTTGGGCCTGCTGCACGTGTATGATTTATGGCTCGGTTATTCGGCATTCCGTGTGATGAAATGTTGCATCATTTAGCAGGTGTACAGTTCCTTCAGCTTCTTGATTTGGTTGGGCAATAATTCGGTCATTGCTTATTTGTTAGTGTCTGTCTTTAGGGATTTGATCAGGAATTCGGAGATTTTGATAATTTTCGGTTCCTTGTTCTGGATGATCCGCATTTATATATGAATATGGAGTTTGAGGCATGTGTGGTTTGAGTCGTTAGTTCTCTGCCGCCGATGTTGGTTGTTTAACAGGTGATTATGATTCTTGATTTTTTTGTTCACAGTCTAGAGGGTGGACAATTTCAGCGTCGTTACAGCCTTAGCAAGTTGCTGTTAGAACAACACTTTTACTCCTCATCATTCTGTTTTTTATTTTGTCACTATACTGTCCTATAAGAACACAGAAAACGAGAGGAAAAACACACAAAATCCTAGAGCAAAAATAAACAAGACATTTAGGAGGTTAGAAAATTGTTTGTGTTTTGGTTTTGATGCGCTTAAATGCGGCCCATGCGGAATGTTACGCCAAAATTGGCGTAGAATTGACGTCTATGCTGAACTGCGAATTACTCTCAAAGTAGTTTTATAATACCCGCCCTTAGTCGGATCGTCGGATCAGTATTTCCGAAAAAGCCCTACGAGTAGGTACATCTAAGTAAATGCCAAATGACTACCTATATCAAAACCAAAAATATCTTCTTTCTATTGTGTATGTAATAAAACAAAAAATTGAGTCGTTTGATTGATTAAACGGATTACAAACAAATTGAAAAAATTAAGCATCTGCACTAAAATAAATACAACCGGAAACCCCAGAAACCGAAAATCGAACATTGCTGCGTTCGGCTGTCACTCCGCGCTCCGCGTAACTCCGTACCCACTCCAGGCGTTCGAGTATTGCTTTTCGGCGTAGGTAGAGTGACATCGCTTACTCCACTCCAAATCCGTGCTGAACACAACTTCTATCTTCATCGATGCCAAACTTCTATTTCTCAAAAATTCCCTCATTTCGACGATTTTATAAATAAAAATCCCCCTTCCCTTTTGGGTGCCAAAATTCCCTAAAAAAGGAAAATCCCCTGCAGTTAGGAACACTGTGGTCAAAGACCAGAGCGTGCTGAAGCGGAGCCGTAATCACGTGACCAGCGAGCGCACAGAGCAGTTAAGGCCCGTATTCATAGTCGATGCTCAAGGTTGCATCGTGGCTCAAGTAAGATTTGACGAAATATTAGTTGTATTTCTTTCACACCTAGGAAGAACTCCGGAACAGCTCCGGGGCGTTACTCGCTTATTCCTTTCGGAAAGTTTTTGTTGCATACCGGGCTAAACGCTATAGCGCTGGAAATTTTAATAAACGAACGCGAATGAGCCTGCACCGAGCATAATTTTTAGATAAACGAACGGTAAATTCAAGCTCGGAGAACTTAGATTAAAATACCGAACGCACGGTTAGTACGAAGCTGCCTAGAAACAGTGCAGAGTAGAGTAGTAGTCGAATACCTCCTGTGGCCCGTGCCAGTTTGTTCACTAGTTCCTGTTCTGTAAATGATGCAAAAGAATATGATTCGAAATCGCCTTGCCCTTATGCCCTAACCAACTGTCATAACAACGCATAACATAAGTCGATTAAAGGCGATTAACCAGTCGGTTATATTGACAGATAAACAATGCATTTAACGTCATTTAATACCAATTGGTTGACAAATGACGTTTGCTCCATTGATTATCTGTCAACTATGACCGACCGGTTAATCGCCTTTAATCGATGATAAACAACATACGACATAACCTCAATTGCCAGTCGGCCAGCCATTTCCACGATTTCAAATTTGATTTAAAAAATCATTATCATGTCCATCTCAATCCTCGAAAATAATAGTAAATCCCCAACTCATATTGCCACTGACTGGAACTTTTTCCTGAACGAAGTCCTAACAGAACGTGTCCAAATCACACCCTACTATGACAAAGAAGACTGGAAAATCGGAGAAATTTATTCTATGAGAGTGAGCCACATTTATGATCCATCACATTTTTGGGTGGTCACCAAACACCTGGAAATGGATTTGCTGCACAGATATTTGAATGATTTTTATTCGAAACATAACAACCATTATAAACTTCCCGAAGAAAATTTGAAGTTGAATCTATATTGTGTTGTTTATACTGAAGGGGCATATTATAGAGGGATTTTGGTAAAGATACCCTATATGATGAAAAATAAAACTTGGGTTTTCGTTTATTTGCTGGATTTTGGTTTTATGTCAAAGGTTTTGCCTGATAACATTTATTTTATGACAAAAGACATGTATTCCGTGAAGCACTTTGCCATTAGAGCATGTTTAGCAGGTAAGAAAATTGATGATTATTGATATTTTGTTCTTGGTTAGGTAAAGACTGGTCTAAGAACTTTAAGATGTTTTACCACAGATCATAAAGAAATATATATATATAAACATAAATATAAATATATATATAAAAAATATAAATATACAGGGTGTCCCACGGTGGATGGCGTATTAGACGTTTATAGAGAACTAAAAAGCGGATCATTTTGAAAATTTCGCGTCCGGGATAAGCGACCATAATCTACACTTTAAAAATATTTTTGTTTATGCGGTGTTGCCGCTTCTACTCTAAACCAGTGGCAACATCGCTATTTTAAACGGAACACCCTGTATGTGATTGCATATTTGGATTCTACGTAAAATTCTGAGCAGATTTTATGTGATATACCCTATACCTAAGTTCAACTGTTTTGGAAATATTTACAGTTGAAAATTGACTTTTTGTAACTTTGACAGGCTGTAAAACCTAAACGGTTAATTTCAGAGGAAAACCGATCTTACATTCCTATCTTAGATTTTCGTAAACTATCATTTGACACCAACTTTGAATTTAACCGGAGATTAAATTTAATTGGAATTTTTAATCATGGATTAAATTCAAAATTGGTGTCAAATGATAGTTTATAAAAATCTAAGATAGGAATGTAAAATCGGTTTTTCTCTAAAATTAACCGTTCAAGTTTTACAGCCTGTCAAAGTTGCAAAAAGTCAATTTTCAACTGTCAATATTTCCAAAACAGTTGAACTTAGGTATAGGGTATATATGACATGAAATCTGCTCAGAATTTTATGTAGAATCCAAATATGCAATTAAATACAGGGTGTTAAATAAATAAATAAATAAATATTTTATTAACGACAACGTCATTTAAAAGTGTTTACAATAATAATAAATATAATATATATATAAAAAAAACATTTAGTAAAACAATCAAGTAAAAAAAACAATAACAATCTAATCAAGGAACATTACACTTGTTAATAGGATTATCTTTAGACCACTATATCACAGGTTTTTAGGTACAACTCACAGAGTGTAATATACATAATATAATCAGACTTATACAAGAGAGAAAAACAGAACATAATACATACTACAATAATAGTTGCTGCAGTACTGGCATTAGGGATCTTAATTAAACATGTTTTATTTTTCTTTTAAAGGAATTTAGGCTTACATTAAAAAAATCGATATTCAGTCTTTCAATGATATTATTAGCCAACCCACAGAATCTTGAGATGGGAGAATTTAAGCCATAATTAGTTCGATGATGTTTGATATAAAATAGCCTATTTGTTCTAACATTACAATTTCTAGGTACATGAAAACCAATTAGTGACAAAAGATCTGGTGACTGTATGATATTATTTATAATTTTGTATAGGATACATAAGTCTTGCTGGTCTCTTCTTTGCTGTAAAGTTTGCATGTTTAAAAGGGATAAAATGTCATCATAATCAATAGAGTCATAATTATTGATATTCAATCTAAATGCAATTTGTCTCAGAAATTTTCTTTGAACTCGCTCTATTGCATCCTTTGATTTTCATAAAAAGGAGACCAAACTGGACTGGAGTATTCTAGTACTTGCCTAACAATTGCAGAATATGCATTCCTCGAAGTAAAAATATTATTGAAATCTTTCAAATTGCGAAAAACAAATCCCAGTAGCCTCATTGCTTTATTAGAAATCCTATTTATATGCTCATGAAAGTTTAATTCCACATCCAAATAAACCCCCAGGTCTCTAATAACATAAACTCTCTCCAGTTCAACATTGTTGATAGAATAATTGAAAATGAAAGGATTCCTTAGACGCCCAAAGGACATTACTTTACACTTATCGATATTAAGAGAAAGATTATTCAATTCGCACCACTCAAAAAACCCATTTAGCTCGTTTTGCAGCGTAACACAATCCTGCAAACTTCCAACTACAATAAAAATTTTCTTGTCATCTGCAAAGTTTAAAAATTTACAATTTACAAAGTTTTGCTTGACATCATTTGAAAATAAGTTGAACAAGAGAGGAGACAAATGTCCGCCCTGAGGTACTCCCGACGTAACCTCAATAAAATCAGACAGATAGTTTTCGATTTTAACTTTTTGTTTCCTATAAGAAAGATAGTTAATAAGCCATTCAAAAAATTTACCATGAAAACCCATGGCTAATAATTTCCCAGAGAGGATACTATGATCAACCCTGTCGAACGCCCTGGAGAAATCGGTATAAATGACATCCACCTGATACCCCCCCTCCAAGGCATCAAACAGGACCTGCTCAAACTCCAACAAATTTGAAGTGGTTGACTTGCCCTTCATAAAGCCATGTTGTTCTGGTGTAATTAAATGCTTAAATAAAGGTGTAATTTTGTCAGTTATGATAGCTTCGAAAATCTTTGAAAAAATAGAGATTTTGGAGATAGGACGGTAATTCTTAACATCACAATTGTCCCCACTCTTGAAAATTGGAGTTACATAACTCAATTTCCAAACATCAGGGAAGGTTCCAGTTGATAGTGATTTATTAAATATTTGAGACAAAACAAAAGAAAAAAAACAAATGCAGTTCTTGAGAAGACACACAGGAATACCATCTGGACCGCATCCTACATTCTTGAGTTGATAAATTTTGTTGTAAACATCTATGGGTTCTATAATGATATCACCCAGATTGACAGAGAGGTCGCTAGATATATTCATCTCCTTGTGGTCATAGGAGGTGTATACTGATGAGAAGTGTTTACAGAAAAGATTTGAGATACCCTGGGGCGTATCACTTTTTTGTTCACCAAAGATCATTGAAGAAGGAAAACCTTTTGTGTCTTTCTTAGAGTTTATGTAACTCCAGAATCCATCCCTTTCCTGCACTCTCTCCTCAATACTATCAAGATAATTTTGATGACTGATTGGGGCATACCATCGACATTCTGAGCGAAGTTGGGAGAATTTTTGATAATCCAACAATGATGATGAAATTTTGTAAGTTTTGTGAGTGGCCTTTTTATTAAAAATAAGACTTTTCAGATGGACATCCATCCATTTAGGAAATTTTGGATTCTTATGCCTGTTTAAGGGTGTCGACACCTGAATGGAATTGTTCAATGCTTCATAAAACATTCGCACACAGACATCAACATCATGATCAAACAGAATATTATTCCAATCAGCCATTGTGAAAGTTAGTTCAAATTCTCTGAAGTTACATTGTTTAAAGTTGTAGTACCAATAATTATAGGACAAGCTTTTAGTTGTATTTACTGCCCCAATTTCAAACTCTAATGCAGGATGCGGTTTATCTAAACTTAACAGCGGACTTGCACATGGAAAAATAGTTACATCTGTTCTATTACTAAAAATTAGATTTAAAAAATTTCCGTACTGATTAGAAATTTGATTGAGTTGTGACAAGTTACAGAAAGACATGCAATCCGTCAAGCAATTTGTTTCATCTGAAGTAGCACCAATTGGTCGGCAACCATCATCATCGCAGATTCACGAAACTTTAGGACGATTAAAATCACCACAGAGAAACATATCAAGTCTTTCGCAAGGACAGTTATCCAACACATACAGAACAGAAGAAGAATATCGCTCATATATTTCACATGATGAATTTGGGGGAATGTAGACATTACCAAACAGAAAGTGGCTGTCACCGATAGTAAGCATAACAAACAACTGTTCTAAAGAGTCTGTATTTGAGGGTAAAAGCTTACATTTCAATTCCTTTTTGACAGCAATAATAACTCCTCCACCTTGAAATTTTTCAGAGTTTGTCTTCAATGATCTATCACATCGATAAATTGTGTAGTTTCCTTGGAGTCCGATTTCGATTTAGTATGTTTTCATCAAGGAATGTTTCAGTTAAGAGAATAATGTCATAATTTTCTACCATAACGTTGCACACTAAATCCCTTAGCTTTGTCTTCACTCCCCTGACATTTTGGTAATAACAATGAATTTTCAGTTTTTTGGAGGCTGATTTTGAAAATTTGGCAAAGATTGCTGCATGTTGTTGTCTCTCTGCTGTCTCGGCAAATTAAAATTAAAATCCCTAAAGACAACTCCTATGGGCCAGAAATCGCAGCTATTTACTGTTTGATAAAATTGATTGTTTACACCTACTTTAAAGGATTTTATTCGATTATCATTTTTAAGCTCTTTAACAATGACATTAGTTTCAGGTGTTTGTAGTTTGTTGCAGAAAAACTTCTGAATATCTTTATCACACGACTCGGCTGAGATTCTGCCCAAGTAAAGCCATTTCCTAGTAGAATAAGGTACACTCTTGATCTCACTGGATACATTAGTGCCCATAAACAGATTTGGTTTGTTTATATTTTGCAAAGACTGGCCAGATTCATTGGTATGCGTTGAGGTAAGTTGAGCTACAAGTTCTTTGTGCCGGTTGGCATAAAAAGCATTTTTTTTATGCCAACCAACCAATTTTTGTTTACATTTTAATTCATTAACCTCTCATTACCAGCTGATTGACTCAGTTTGCTATCCGTCCCCTGATTATGGGCCCGTCCATGGGACTTGGCCTTGGCCGCAGTATCGTCGACCTTTAGTAAAACAGCTGATTGCGGCTGAAGCTGTGTTGTCACGTTGTTCACAGGATTTCCTGAGACTAAATCAATTTTATCATCAATGCCAATATTTAGATTTTTCAGTAATTTATTATCAAATTGGTTGTTAGCTAACTGGGCAAGGTTTTCCGTTAGTGTGCCTACAGATTCCTTCAATATTTTATTTTGGGCTACAACATCTGAGACAGCACTTTGCAGATCTTTTAAAGAACTTTGAATAATGGCGCTAAGAGAGTCTTTGATCAAATCACTAAGAAGATCCCTTGATTTTTGAACGTAATCAAAGGTTTTTGCTTCCTTGATGCAAGATGGACACCAAAAAATCATAACTCTGCCACTCTGTCGTATAAGTGCCCTTACCTCGGATGAAGAAATATCGGAGCAAGCTTTGCATACTGTTTTACCACATCGATCGCACGGAAAACCAAATAAGCGCTTCTTTTCTTTATCCTCATCTGGAACACATTTTGAGGAGCAAATGTAGCACTTTAGGTCTGACGACGAGTCACCCATTATGAGAACTCTACGTGATAGCTATCACTGACACTGATTACAGTAAATTTACAGCCTCTAAGGGGTAGCCTTATGTTTAATATGAACTAGATCGACGAACCAAAGATGCTAAATAGAAAAAACGATAATTTTTCACCGTGCAAAAGCAAATTTTCACAATTTTTCGAGAGAACTTTTCCAAAACCAACTATTTTGCGATGTTTCATTTAAAATAGCGATGTTGCCACTAGTTTAGAGTAGAAGCGGCAACACCGCATGAACAAAAATATTTTTAAAGTGTAGATCACGGTCATTTATCCCGGTTGCCAAATTTTCAAAATGATCCGCTTTTTAGTTCTCCATAAACATCTAATACGCCATCCACCGTGGGACACCCTGTATATATATATACTGTTCGCCCAAGTTAAGAACACCGGTTCCGGTTGAAAGAATGTGAAGAATTTTAAAAAAATGAGGCGGTTAATTATTCAACGTCTCATTTTTTTCAAGTAAGTGTATGTGACAACTATGTACTCAAATTCTTCACATTTTTTTTTTAATCGGTATTCTTAACTTGGGCGGAGAGTATATCCTATATTTCCTCTGCTACTGTCATTATGGAAGTATGTTGTCGACCTTCAAGCTTCAATATCTTATTAGGAGAAGGGCAATTCAATCCTTACTTTTTATTTTCCATATAGTCAATAATACTTTATATACAGACTGTAGATTTATTAATCTAATTAAATTTCATGTTCCTAAAATTAACCTTGGACTAAGGAACTACAACATTTTTGTGATAAACCAGTCAAGTTGCTCACCGCTGAGCCATATCCTGATAGAGTGTAGTGATATCTTAAAGAAGTGTAACATAGATATTTTCAACACAACTGTTGCCTCAATCAAAAAATTGACTAGAGGATGATATACACCATTATGCTGGAGTTTATGTGTGCCATCTAGCCTATTTATTTATTTTTGTATTATAATATGTTTTGTTTTATCCTCAGTTTCATCTCCTTTTTGTTATTCTTTATTGTATTTTTGAATTTTGATAGTAGGTAATGTGATTGTGATACATAACTGGCTTGGTTTCGGTTCTATCCTTCTATCTCGCTAGTCACTGTCAACATATTTTGCTATCTGGCAGATACTCGGATTAAGCTAATATTAATATTAACTTCGAAGAGCCTCATGGATCTATGTTAGGCCCCCTACTGTACCATTTACATTGTATTTTAACGCTAAACCACCAATACATTCAAGTTTAATGAGTAATTTACACACCTGCTTCAACACCATTATCAAAAACTCTTCCATTGGGTCATTGTTGGTGTTCAATCAGTTTTATAAGCTTCTCCTATTTTTTTAATTAGGTCTTGTGTTGTGTAAACGAATTTCACATTATAGCATAAAAATTAGGTTTGAAATTATTTGTTTTAGCTTCTAATGCCTATGTTATTTTGCAGGCATTGGCCCATTGGGAACAAACAAATGGACCAGTGAAGCGGTAATCAAGTTTACCGAAATAATAACTAATAAAGTTGTCTACGGCCAAGTTATTGTCAAAAATGATCCCCAAAAAGTTCTATTTTTACAAGTATGTGAATATAATTCGTCAACAGAATCCATGGTTTCAATAGGAGATACTCTCGTTGATTATGAACTGGCCAAAAAAATGACCATCCTAGAGATAAGGGAAATGAAGCATTCTGAAAAGAAGAAAGGTTTAAAAGAAAGTACGAAGTTAGTATTACCGTTTAATCTTCCCACTTTTGAGGACCTTGAAAACGGATATGCTGTTGATACAATTACTGCTGCTCGATTTCTCGATAAAATAGTAATAGTTCGCAGTGATAGGCCAACAAGCGCTTTTCATTCCCTTTCTAATGATATACCTCTTAAGTATGATTGACCGACGTTTCTGCTCCAAAAAGTTATGAAAAGTGATTTTTACCAAAATCTTACCTTAATTCGGCCCTAGTTATGAACCTGTATTTAATAAACTAAAAGGAATTTGGCAACATTGTGAAAAAGTCTTGAATGGGCATCAAAAAAGGCAACTTTTTCTAATTCAACCGACCTTGTAGCTCTTACTGTTTCGGATATAGCAATAGTGGTATCACTTAAAATATACACCCTGTATAGTAGGTATCAACTATACGGTGTGAATTACATGTTTAAGTTTCGCGGTTGCTGAAAAAGTGTTTATTAAATGAAAATAAGAAAATGATGAGGGCCAGGGTGGCTTTTCTAAACAACTAGGTACCCCAAAAGTTTTCTTTTAGAGTTTTTCTGGTTCTCGCGACTTCACGTAAATCGGTAGTTTTTCGGAAAAATACCAACAAAGTTAAAGAGCCCAGAATTTCCTATAGTTTTTTAGTTGAAAGCGAAACTTTAACAAGTACTATAACTCACAACCTATTTTTATATAGAAATTAATACCTACTATTTAAGGTATTGACGAGGTAGATAGGAAGAAATAAAAATTCAAAATACGACATACAGCAACTCATTTGTTTTCTTATTTTTTTCATTAATGTAGGTGCCTATATTATGTTAGTAACAGATCCCGAAGAGTCGTCAAATCAGAGTGACATATCCATGCCTACCTAATTATATTCAACATCCTCTATCATTACTTATCCTATATAATTACAAGTATAGCAACTTTAATAATTTGACTATATCAATCATGTATCCTAGTCTCAGTAGAAATAGTCTCATCCTTATTAAAAAAAGCTCAACACAGTGAAATTGAAGACTTTGGTTTGAGTAATTATTAAAAAAAAACAAACAAATCAACATGTTACAGCTATTTTTCGAATATTCTCTGATGAATTTATGGAGGACTTTCACAATTCACTGTATTATACAGTTTTACTGAACTGGACTTGATTGCCAAATTTTGACAAATGTGTCTAAATAGGTAAGTATTAGGTTATTACTGTAGGGTACGAAACCTAATCGGTATCTGTGTTTGTATTTATAGGTATAAGTATTTTTTTCCGTTTGTAATTATGTAAATATTATATTTCTTCATTTCTCCAAATAATTCTCTTCCGACTGTACCTATTTATTTTTACATAGACTGTACCGTCACGGTTGAATAGGCGAGGCGCGCTGGATCTCAGGGTAGCAACAGGGCGACGAAAAGGGAATATCTCTATATAGGTTGATAGAAGAGGACGGTAACAGGGTGGCACCGAATGGCACGGCGCCAGTCGGGAAGTAGCCATGAAGGAATAATATTAAAAAGAGGGGTCAATCGTTAATTGAACGCTGAAGGCGGAAGACGGCCGTGGAGGGATTTTTCTTAGACGAGGTAAATTTAATTATCAAGACGTATATTTCTAAAGCCGTCAAGACGTACCTATACTTAGTTGTGAAGTTGTTATTGTGATTTTCCGTGCCAATTGTATATTTATCAATGACGTATTTATCTACCATCTAATCTATCTATTCTTCGTAAATATTATTAAAATTCCTTATATTTTCAATGGACCGTTACGTTTGATTTTCTGCTTGCCCCAAAATACCCCTAGACAACGATAAAAATCCTACACGAGGAGGATTTCAGTAGTGGAACTGTGTACACTAAATTACCACTTATTACCACTCTATTACCTTTCATTGCCTCAGGAATTACCACTCAATGCCACTCAAATTACCACTTATTACCACTAATTTCCTTTAAATACCACTAATTACCACTCTCATTACCACTAATTGCCACTGAAATTACCACTAAATACCACAAATCTATTTTAATTTTCAAGTATACCTGATATTTAGAACTCAATAACATGTTGCTAAGTAGGTACATGATAATAATAACACTATGTAAATTTTTATACGTCTTTAGGGTATTGAAAACTATAATTGTGTACCTACATTAAAGAGGGGGTGTGACCCTAAAAAACGACTTAAGCTACCTAAATCAAGAAAAAAATTCTAAGATCTCTCGTGAAAACCGCAGTCCTATATTCGAAATAGTCTCCGCTTACTTCTAAATTAACGCAAATTCAAAGGCATATCATAATTTTATCACTACAGAACTTCGTGTTATTACCACAAAATTTCCTTAAATTACCCCAAAAATTTCCTTAAATTGCCTTAAATTACCAAAAATTTCCCCGAATTACCACTATATTTCCACTAATTTCCAGTCATTACCACTCATTTCCCATAAAATTTCCACTAATTACCACTATTGTATACACTAAATTACCACAATGAAATCCCCCTCGATCCTACATTACTTTTAATAGATTTTTTGTTTCATTAATTTTCATCTTATGTTTAAATTTCTTTATCAAAGAGGCAAACTGCATGGATTTCTTGTTACCTCAAAAGATGCCTACTCCTTGTCATTCCACCAAGCCCCGATATTGTGGAGCTCATCCCAATCACTTCTTCAAGTCTTGAAGAAGCAGAGTACTCCCGGAGTCTTATGGATAGACCAAATTAAACCTTTACATAATGAAATAAGTGCTCTAGTAAACTCTATACCACGGAATGATGAATTTGCTAAATTTATAGTGCAAAGTATACCAAAAGAAGCCAGAGAAAGAGGTACAAAATAATTAAATTATCTATTGTAAGTTACATCTTTAATCTTCGTCTTAAGGTGTCTGCCCTGAAGAATCTCTTAAAAAAAGATTTCGCGATGTGGAAAAACTAGCAATGAAATTAGATTTAGTGCCAGCAGAAGGAGGATCTCTTTCAGTGTATATTTTGTCATGCCTTCAATCAATTCTCATAATACAATCTGCTGTTCGTATACCACAATCGGAATTAGATGACGACGAAGTAAACTTCAGTCAATTGACTACCCATGAAGTTTTGTATAGAGCAAAGTTTTGGCTTGATAGAGACAATTTATTGCAAACCCTAAAATATGTTAATCTTCTAAAAGGAGCATCAAGGTAACTAGTAGGTAAATTCAATAGTGATGATGAAAGGCAATTCAGCAGCGTATGGTCATGATCATTATGCACTTATTCGCTTTTAATATTGGACATACTTGTAGGTACTTGATTTTTTTTTGTCCGTCCTGTCTTTTACCAATCCAATTTCAACAGATCAGTTGGACAGAGCTAAGTAGTTAGTTTCTGTAGTTAGATGTGTGCAGGGTTGACAAAAATGGTTTCAATATCCTTTACTTAGAATTTCTTTTGAAGTATCCATGAGATTCTTTAAAGTCTTGTTTCCATGTAATTGCCATTTACTTTGTAGATTTTACCCTGTTCAAAGTTGTGTTTTGTGGAAGTCGGCATCAGTGTTTTTGCTTGATGGAATGTTTGCGATTCTGGCTGTCAGTGAGTTAGTTTTTTCGTCGATTTTAAATGTAGAAAAGGTGATTTTCGGTCTGTTCTCACGCGATAAATTGTCTACCTACTACTACTACTACTACATGCGTCATCAAGTTAGCCATTACAAGACGACCTATTTATTTTAGGTATTTGGGGTTGTCTGATAAATTTTATGACGTCATCTGGGTTGTCTCAACGCCTCAACATAATGCAAATTTCAATAAAGCACCGCAGATGACGTCATCAAGTTATCTATTACCAGAACCTTGGTTTCGATTTAAATTATTTTTTACAAATTTCCGTTACTAGTTAAAGTTGTTTGAGAGAGGTAGGTTGCCTGATGACTTTTATGTCGTCATCTTAGGTGCCTTTATACAGGGTGTATATTTTAAGTGATACCACTATTGCTATATCCGAAACGGTAAAAGCTACAAGGTCGGTTAAATTAGAAAAAAGTTGCATTTTTTGATGCCCATTCAAGACTCATTTACAGTGTTGCCAAATTCCTTTTAGTTTATGAAATACAGGGTGATTTCTAAGAAACGCCTAAAAATATTCTATCAAATATTTCGAAAACTATTTATTTTCGGGACATAATTTAAATTTGAAATTTTTATAATGTTTTTCGCTCTACAACATGGCATCTTCAAATTTCGAATCCGACGTTTCGTGGTTAAACTACCATCATCAACTTCATTTTTTTAAATACGAACCTGGATTTTTTATGACACTTTAAGAAAGCACTCTTTATTCCCTTTTCAACGACATACCTTTTAAGTATTATTGGTCGACGTTTCTGATCTAGAATGTGATCATCAGTGATTTTTACCAAAATTTTACCTTAATTCGGACCTAGTTATTAACCTATATTTCAGAAACTAAAAGAAATTTGGCAACAATGTAAACGAATCTTAAATGGGCATCAAAAAAGGCAACTTTTTTCTAATTTAACCGACCTTGTAGCTTTTACCGTTTCGGATATAGCAATAGTGGTATCACTTAAAATATACACCCTGTATAATGCAAATCTTTATAAAGACGTTCCAGATGACGTCATCAAATTACTCATTACCAGAACCTTAGTTTCTGGCAAAATTATTTTACCAAATTTGCGCACGTTCCACGTATCTGGCTCTAGTTATTATTTTTTAATTTTTGTGTTTTATTTTAGTTTTTTTGTTAATTTTAATTCAAAAGCCGGGAAAAGATAAAAATTGAGACAAATTGTTGCGCATTCAGCCGACGTACCTAGTATTTTACTGCATATTTCCATAATTTTCATGCGATTGGCCAAAAAAAAAAGGGAAATTCAAGAGCGGAGAAGAGATTAAGGGGACAAATTATTAAGCATTCAGCCGACGTCAATTTTACTTCATATTTTTTCATTTTTATGTGATTGGCCAGAAAGAAAAGAGGAAAGGGCAAAGAAGAAAAGGGAAATTCGAAAGTCGGGAATAGATAAAAATTGAAATCGATTTCCATTTGTCGAGCCAGTGCAAAAAAAATGTATCCATAAGCCTAGTACTCATAACTGCGAAATTCGCATTTTTTTGACATTGCGTTGACAATTTGACGTTTTATGCGTGTATCAAACGTCAAATTGTCAACGCAATGTCAAAAAAATGCGAATTTCGCAGTTATGAGTACTAGGCTTTATCCTTACTATATGCTTTTAAAAAAAAATGCGGATACACTCAGTGCGCACTGACTGACAAATGGAAATCTTCATGAGACTAATTGTTGCGCATTCAGCCGACGTATTTAATATTTAACTTCATATTTACATAATTTTTAAACGATTGGCCAGAAAAAAGAGGAGAGGGCCAGAAAGAAAAGGGAAATTCAAGAGCCGGGAATAAATAAAAATTGAGACATATTGTTGCGCATTCATCCGACGTACGTAGTATTTTATTTCATATTTTCATCATATGTAGGCGATTGGCCACGAAAAAGAGGAGAGGGAGTAGAGAGACAAGAGATAAAGGTAAATTCAAGAGCCGGGAATAGATATAATTTGGGACAAATTATTGTGCATTCAGCCGACGTAACTAATATTTTGGCCTAGTTCGTTTTTGTCATCGCTTTGCTCGAAATTTTGACAGGCACGTGACTGGATAAGACAGTTCCAGTTTATAAATCACGTGCCTGTCAAAATTTCGGAGCAAAGCGATGACAAAAACGAACTCGGCCAAAATATTAGTTACGTCGGCTGAATGCACAATAATTTGTCCCAAATTATATCTATTCCCGGCTCTTGAATTTCCCTTTATCTCTTGTCTTTCTACTCCCTCTCCTCTTTTTCGTGGCCAATCGCCTACATAATATGATGTAAATATGAAGTAAAATACTAGGTACGTCGGATGAATGCGCAACAATTTGTCTCAATTTTTATTTATTCCCGGCTCTTGAATTTCCCTTTTCTTTCTGGCCCTCTCCTCTTTTTTCTGGCCAATCGTAAAAAAAATGATGTAAATATAAAGTTAAATATTAAATACGTCGGCTGAATGCGCAACAATTAGTCTCGTGAAGATTTCCATTTGTCAGTCAGTGCGCACTGAGTGTATCCGCATCTTTTTTTAAAAGCATATAGTAAGGATAAGGATACATTTTTTTT